TCAAGAGAGACAAACCTGCAATAAAGCAGAGTATCTTTGTATTAAAGATAAGAAATAGTAATTTTTGTCTTCTCTTAGAGCTTAAGGAAAAATGCCTTGTTATTGTTCCTAAAATGTTGGAAAAGGTGGTTATATTTTTTTACAAGTGTATAAATACTAAAATAATGAGACTGTTGAAGTCTCCTTGACACTCTTCTCACTGCTTTAAATATATCTCCAAAATAATGCTCAAATAAAGATATCACTAGCGGTGGGGGGGTGGAAGTGTGAAATGTAAATCCTACAATCAGCAAATAAGAAAACTCAAAAGCTCGGCATTTCCTGCCTGTTCTTATTGTTTTTCACACTTATTTACTTTCCCTCTTACGAATGTACAAGTGAAAGGATTGGTGTAGGTCATTTGAAAATAGAGCTTGGTGCCGATACTTCAGAATTTACTTAGTGATGGATAAGCATGAAAGGGTGAGAAATAATTTCCTGGTGCTTCTTTACCCTTGCCTTCAGCTCCAGCCTGTTACTTCAGTTTGCTTCCAGCTGTTTTCTACCTAAAGTAAAATGTTTCCTGGCCATGTGCTGCCTCCGTTTCTGTCAAGTGGGGTTAGGAACTGGTGTTGAAAAGACAATATACTTTCTCTACATCCTGGAAATTCCTTTCTACAATGAGCTATCCTTAAAAGCCAGCTGTGCCCAACCACGCAGTTATTTCACACAAAAATAAGCTTAAAGATGCTTGTGTCAAGGCCAAGAATCAGATCTTGTAAATTTATGAAAGATGAATGCTATGGTGGACTCTGCAAACTTTTTTTATATAAACAAGATTATAGATAATATAATAAAAAATAAATCACTTTGTAGATGACAATAAACTTTACATATAGGTGGATAATACCACATTTAGTACTATTCTTTTTTGTTTGTGTTCCAGTCAACCAGCTCAGTGACCAGCCCGACCTCCAGCAGGAAAGGATACATTCCATTATTCTTTATTGTACAATAAAGCCCTTTATTTATGGCAAGCATTAGTTTTGCAGTCACAGTGACAGAATTCATATCTCAGCAGTGCATTGAGGCTTTCTTTCCCTCCTTGTAATAGTTATCCCTGAAATTGTCTCGTTCTTCTGTTGTCAGACCTGAACATATGGTGTATCTGTCAGAGTTAGGAAGAAGGGGCTCAGCCACAGAGGTTCTCTCTCCAGCCAGATGTAAGAGAAGAGACACAAAGTTCATAGTTTGCTGCTCTTATGAATCTCTAGAGAGTTAGTTCCGATTCCAACCTGCTAATTTCATGATTGTGGTTGACACTGGAGTATTGTAAGCATATCCAATTATTATGTCATTTTACAGATCACTTTTATGAGAAATGCTCACCTGAGCTCATTTTTTGTAGTGTCATTTTCCTTCTGGAGTGCAGGTGTTGCATCAGCTTCAAGAAACTGATGTTCTCTAACGAGGAATTTTGAAATATTGTCTCAGAAATTCTGCATGTTCAGCATGCGTCAATCAGATGGGCAATGAGATAATTAAAATAGTACTATGTGATTTTTAAGGTTGAATGTAGGCTACACTGAGAAGAAGTAACTAATTGGAAAAAGGAAGGCAGAGATAGCTGTAGATTGTGTAGTTACAGCAAACTGATGTTTCATTTGTCATATGTTCTAGACGGAATTGTTTGACTGGGATTGAATTGGGATGGCTATACCTTTCCTATGAAGCATGAAATAAATGGGCACAAGGAATTGTTTTATTAGTAATAGTTCAGGATAACTCTTTAATGTTAGAATCTGAGCTTTTTATTAAAAAATCGCTGTTAAGACTACAAGAGACAGGAAACACGTTTATTTTAACAGACGAAAACATTTATAGAATCTTCTATTTTTATTAAGTTCTATGTGAATTTTATATGAATCTTTTTAGTCTTAAAGAAAATGAAGGATTAACTGTCCTAAATTATGAGAAGTGGAAAGAAATTTGTGACTGTTTCTGTGAATATTTGAGCTGCCATGGAACAAAGCTCATTTTTTCTTTTGTGTTGCATGAATTTTTGATCTGCTAAATGGAGGAAAAAAAAATGAGGACATCAAACTCCCTTTCTTATATGATATGTCAGATAAAGTAAAACTGAGCCTAATGCATTATGATTTAAAAACAGATTGTCCTGCATATGTGCATGTGTTTGTGTGTTTACGTACCAATACATTTTAAGAAATGATTGCCCTCTTGGTAATGACTGCAAATAATTATTTGTGAAAAAAGATCCTAGTATGTAGGTACCTAAAACGGTTAGTTGCCTCTGAAAACACTGCTCTTCAGTTCCCACTTCCACCTCTCAATTCCCACCAAGACGCCTTCTCCTCCTCCCCAGTGTCATGTTGGAACAGGCATGTCAGCATTCAGGAAGATACAGTCATGCAGTTCTTTCTAATTGCCAACACTGAATAAATTCACATTCACTTATATCTGTGAAAAACTGACAGATTGTGCTTGTATGTTTGAGCTTGGACAGTCTCCTCAATCTCAAATTTTGCTTTGCTCTCAAGCTGGAAAAAGTCTGAACCTTTTCCATTTTTCAAACTGGGAAATAGACTGTTTTCCTTGGGGGAAAATTTTGTAAGAGGATACAAAATGCTCGTCCAAGTACAAATAGTCTTATCATGTGCATCAAGTATTTTGCACTGGTCTACAACAATATTTCTAACCAGTGGTTCAGCGGATCAGCTGAAAAACGTAAGGCAGAAAAACCTAGAGCAATATCAGCACAGTTAATCTTTTGTAAACAGTTTTCCTTTGTGCAGTGATAACTTTAGATGCTTGCACAAAAAGACAAGTCATTACTAAACTAGAGAAAAGGGAATTTTCTTACTGCTTGTCAAGCACTGCAGTAATTTTGAAGGACTAAACATCATTAAAAGAAAAATCTTTGTGTTTCGTGTATCACAGGTGCATAAAGTGAGCATAGTTATAGTAATGAGTGCTAGTTTACTGAATTTAAATTAGCAAAATCCAAACTTAGCTTGACAACATTAATAAAATACTTTAACCTGTAAACAATAGTTGTTTGCCACAGTCGTCATTTCAGCACACCTGCAATATTTAGCAGTTAGACAAGTGCTAAAGTCTTTTGACGTTTTCCAGAAACGCCTGCATATAACATTAAACCCTTTCCTTTCCTCAGTGACTCGGGATTTTAGACAGTAAGTGACTCTAGCAGGTACTTGATACTGTGATAAAATTGCTATAGACTTGCCTAAGTCACCAGCAAAATCCTCAAGAGTGCACCTTTCCTGATGGTGGGATTGGCTGCAGTGTTGATTGTATCAACTAAACCAGAGTTAAAAAGGCAGTAAAAAGTCTGCTGTGGCTGGCACATCCCTAGCTTAACTTCTATTTCTTTCTGATGTTTCTGTATAATTCAGCTCTTTTCTGGAATGGAATTAACCACTTAAACAAGCATTCCCATGTTTGGATAGAAGTCCGAAGGTAACTTTCAGTGCTCTTGTTTTGGATCTAGTGTTTGCTAGTTACCTTGTTGACCCTAGTATGTTGTACTTGTACATGAGCTAAATTCTTTAACTGGTATATCCTTGCAAGACGTTACTTGTACCAGGTTTCATACCATGTTCTTTAGGGGGAGAATAAAGAAGTTCACATGCATATTCTATGCCCACCCAGATGGTGCAGCAAGGAATGCTACTGACTTGAATCAGACTGGTTTTCAGTCCTCTAACTTTAGCAGTGTCTATGTTATTGGTACTCAGAATTTCATCACAAGTTGGTTACTTCTAGGATTTTTTTTTTTTAAAAAACACCAGCTATTACAATCCAGCTTATAGATATATCATTAGAGCTATTGTAAAATTTTCTGAAGAGCAAGTTTTATTGTGGGAACCATAAAAGTACTCTAACTTATACCATTTGGCTTCTCCTACAAGCTGAAATTTAATGATGTAAGTGTGAGAAATGAATGTGAAAAAAGAGAGTTAACTGGTCTTGAATAAGAAAGTATTAATACATGTTTCAGAGAGAATTAAGGGCTCCTAATGACATGGTACAGCTGTGATCGGGTCACTGTTAATTTTGAGAACAACCTGGTTCAATATAAACTTTGACCTTTTTCTTGCTTTAAATTTCACTACAAAATAAAAACTCAGACATTTATTATAGAAAAATGCTGAGAGTCATGACGATAGAGTACTGTTTGAACCAGCAGATTTCAGCATGAAAATAATGTGAAATGTGCCTTCGTCCATGCTAATGTCCTAACAAATGTGGTTAGGAAAATGTAATTTTTCAATCAGCCTGAAGTTGAGAGACAGAACTCAAAGGAACAGGTTTTGAAAGGATTTGTTGGTGTGATTTTCCCCTACTGACAGCCAGTTTATTTTACGCTATGATATATCCTAATAGTCTGAGACTTTGTGTGCTGTTTCATAGGTTTACAGGTTAGTGGTAAACCTCTGGTTAGGTTGGTTATTTATAGGAGAGGAAGAAGAAGAAAAGGGATCAAAAAGAGGGCTATGTATATTCTAGACATTGTCATTTTTTCATGGAAAAAGCAGACATGATCTTATGAAAGACAGGTTGAGGTACAAGGAAAAAAAGGTTTAGAGGTGAGTGATTTATTCATCTGTTCCAGGATTTCTGCTGAACTGTGATATTGTTGGGGTGGGACTGCCTTTTTTTTTATTTTGTGCAATGTTAAGCCCTGTAGCCTTGAGCTTCTGGAGAGGTATCCACAGTCACTCAAATGCATGAACTGACTCTTCCTAAGAGTCATTCAGGGACCTCCAGGGAAAGGTAATCGATGGAGTTTCCCTGTTGGCATTGGCTACAAAAGGGACTTGTGAAAAATGGTTGTGTGGAATACTCTTCTGTTAGCACTGCAGGAAAAGTCTTTTTCCATCTAATCAGTAATGCTTGCCTAATTGGCAACGGTTGATGCAGTGGTTTTTTTCTTTTCTTTTTTCTTTTTTCTTTTTTTTTTTTCCTCTCCTGTGTTACAGATATACGCGGACTGCAGGGATTTCTCGATCAGGCCTCAAGACTGGGACTTGATGTATCATTACAAAAAGTGGACAGGAACATCAGCAGAGTCTTTGCCAACCTTTTCACTACCATGAAAACAGAATTTTATCGGGATACATTGCGAAGGGCTATCTTACTCCTAAGCCCGCGGGGAGCCCAGACTTTTATTAATGAGGTCAGTGCACAGCTGTTTTTATCAACATTTCAGGAACATACATGATGACTTATGGAATAGCTTGCTGTGTTTTCTGAAGTGGTAGATTTTGACAATGTTGGTTGGTAAAGGTCGAATAAGATTCTTTGTCGGACTCTGGTGTTGGAGAACTGAAATATCAGGTACTCCATGTCGTGTTTACTTTGTGGGTAATGCAAATGGGACAGCATGGGCCAGATGGGCACTTTCAATATAATGTAGAGCTCTATGGGACAATTCTTTTTTCTCTGGGTATCTTCCACATCAATACTTTTGACTTGGATTTCAACCACTGTCAACAAGTGATCACAAAATCTATTATAGTCTATTAGAAATGAAGCATAATGTGCCTGAGAGAGTCGTCTTTACTGTGGAAATCTCCAAATTCATGTTGAAAGGGCATGTTATTGCTGTTTCAAAGCTGAATCACAGAGTTTTTTAATCAAGTATGAAGTAGAAACTACATGTTAGTCTCTTCTTGATGGTTTCTTGAAATCAATGAGGCTGATTAAGACAGGGAGGTAGCTGTTGGGCAAATTTGTAATTAATGTTGTGCTGTTGGCTAATTTTTGACATTAGTTTTATCCAGGTTTTTCTTAATATTAAATAATTGATTATTTCACGGTGCTTTATATGTTAGAGTTTAGAATGAGACTTAGATCCTCAGTATCAGTTTATGCATATTTGGCAATGAAGTAGTTTTTTTTCTTTTTTTAACTAACCAGGGATAAGACTGAACCAAGAAATTAAAATGCGGATAAGACTTGTTTCCAATTATCAGTTTTGCTGCGTCAAAGCCTGCTAAATTAAAAAAAAAAATCAACTTAAATTAGCTCATTAAATTTTTTTATCATATCAGCATAAGTAAATTCTTCCCATTTATGTTCATCGGTGATTTTTAAATTAATGGGGTAAATTTTATCATAAAATAAATGAGGCAAATGAGTAGCTTGGGAAACACTAGGCACAGGGACAAATTCTTCTTGTGTTTGTGCATACACAAGTATTTTCAGCAGAGGAATGAGGGAGTTCCTGCCCTCAAAGTGTAGTTAGCTATGTGTAGCTCACTCAGTGGATTTAATTCCTTCATAGCAGACCTCCAGCAAAAATATACTTTGCTTAGTTTCCCAGTGAGTCCTAAAAAGTATCCAAATGACATATTAAAAAGAAATCCACATGTGTGTTTTATTCAGACACGCTCTGGATAGAAAGTCTGTCCCCCTTCAGTGCACAAAGTTCCAGAAATGTTCGGGAGTTACATGTGCGGGCTGTCAGGACCCTGCAGATCTCTCGAGCATAGGGGCTAATGTATTAAATTGTTTTACTACTCACTTCACCTTAAAGCAGTGTGTATTATAGGCATTAAGGCTAATGGTCTTGATATATTTCCAGATCCCTGCAGGAGTTTAACTGTGGGCAGAAATGAAAAGTAATTTATTTGGCAATCTTCCTATATTGAATCTTGATTGATTCAGAAAAGCTTTATAAAAGAAAATTCAAATCTTAGAAAGGAACTCTCAAAAGGCTTGAGATGTGAGATGCACGGTGTAGTTAGAGTCATTTGCTAGCGGAGGCTGGGCTCACGTTTCCTGGAGAGTTACTGTGATTCCTCAATATCTCAGTCAATAAGTGCAACTGATTATCTACAGTACAATTTCAGACAGTCTAGAATAGCAACTTTCAGCTTAAATGAAATAAATATTCTTATACAGTTTACAGAAAGACATCATTCACAATGTGCAGCAGTAAGTGCCTTTGATATTTCCACAGTTAGTAAATGTTTCATGCTATACATACTATGTAGCTGTATACTGACTAGTATTGTTAGCAATCTGGCTCTGCATCTTGGAAGTTGTTTGAGGCTTTGAAGCAATTTCCCTTTTCAGTTTTAAGGAAAAAAATGTAGACTCTAAAAAAAACAGTGAGTAGTAACCCAAGAAGAAAATTCAAATATTTTATTGATAAGTTTTGGGTATATTTATTTTCATCTTTTCCACTTTATCTCAAATTGCAAATAAGAATTTAAGAACAAAGAGAAGAAAATGGAATTAAAGCTTTGTTTCTGGAAATGGAAAATTCCATATGAAAAAGAGATTCCTGATTAAGATTTTCAGTTTTGGTGAGTAGATTTTTTTGTAGCAGGGGAAAATGTCTGAGAAACTTCAACTAGATCTTATTAAAGTCTATTGGTCAATAACATATCTTCATAAAAACCAGGTGTTGCACACACACACTCCTGTGGAATGCATAACAAAAATAAGAGTCCTTCTTGGATAGTGTCTGGATTATGAACCCTGATATGAATGGTTTAAACAAGTTTTTCTTAGCACCAAGTCATAGACATCAGGCATTGAAAGCTGGTACAATATTTATTTTGCCTGTTTCAATATTGCAAGTGATATATTTTTCCTGCTAAAAATATAGATCCAGATTTCAGCCTCCCTTATTATCTGTTGGGTGGGCCAGAGAGATCTCATCTGACTTTGGATGCACAGAGTTAGGGAACTCTGACATCTCATATGCAAAAAACTTTCTCAATCAGAAAGACTCAGTTTTAGGATTATTTCTTTAATTTTTGTTTAGGCATCATTTTCACTTTACTGGCTTAGCAACCTCCATGTCTGGTTCTGTCGTGTCAAACTTGCTGCAGCAGAAATTACTGACACTTTCGTAAGTTTTCAAGATTTATTATTCTGCTATAAAATTGCTTTGACTGTAAGAATAAAGAGAGGGAGAGAGGGAGAAAAAAAGATCTTTTCAATGGTGTAGATACTAACATGAAATGAGCCTTTTATTCAGAAAACAGAAGGTAGATGCATTTATAAAACGTTAGCCACTCTAGGTTTTGCAGTAAAAGGTCACTTTGGGATTAAACAAAACTAATCTAAGGAAAGTATTCCCTCCTTCATCATTTTGAGAATAATGTTCTCTTCTCCATCTGTAGAAATCCTTGATATGTTTGGCCTGGTGCCATTGTTCAGTTTATATGCAAACCCAGTCTCAATTGTACAGGTATGCATGTAACAGCAAAAATGATTTTGTATTTTGAAGGCTATGTGAGCTCCTTGCAAGGCAATATACAGAAATAAGAAAAACTGATGACTCAGAAATGGGAAGAGGATTTATTACTTTCAGCTACTCTATTAGTCTCTTTGGCCCAGACGCGGGATCTGAGGCTCCAAAGGCTGCCTCTTTGCAACCTGCCTGTAGGGACAGCCAGACTTCGCCTGCCTCTTCCACTTACCAATGGATCTTTTTTTTTTCTTGTTGTTGCAAGTAGAGGTTATTTATATTAATTACTTTTATCATTAGGGACTCTACATTACATAGTGACATGAATACATGGAAAACAGTTCAAAGAGAGAAGAAAAAAATGATAAAAGGATAGGAGAGCATGGCATATGAAGAGAGGTCTCAGGAATGCACTATATACAGTCTGCTGTATATAACTGACAAATACGTGAGAAGAAACATGAGAGGAGGAGGAATTATTTAAGGTGATGATGCGTGGTCTAGCAGGAAGTAATGACCTGAAGCTAAACAACGAATGCTTTCTAACAGGGAAGTCAATTAGAAACTGTGAGCACTTGGCAAGATTGGTCAGTGAGACATCATTCTTCAGAGCGTTCAACAGTTCACTAGATAAAACACTTGGGTAACTTGTCTACTGGTCTTTCCTGAACTAGTTTAAAGGATATTCTAGATGACCCGGGGTCCTTCTGAAGGACCAGGAAAACATTTGTTGTGTGAAGGATCGTTTGCTTCTGAAGGATCAGGAAACATTTGCTGTGTGAATAAATTCAGACTTTGTACGTTTTGTATGCAATATATTTGAAGAGGAGGGAAAAGATCCTGTAGTTTAGTGTTTCTCAAATTTCCTATTGCAAATGTGCAGTAACTGTTAGCTGTGGAGGGTTTTTTTTTTTTCTTCACAGAACACATACAGTTCGTTTGGGATATGTATTTTAATGATAATTTTTCTTTAAAACCGTTGATGGTACCAGTTGCTTTACAGATTTCAATCATCCTAATTTCCAATATTATTACCTTTACTTTTGAAAACCAGTAAAACGGAGGCTGTAACAGAGTTGTACGTGGTTATTGATTTGAAAAGAGGAAGAATTCTTGGCTTTACAAAATCTTCAACTCAGCATGACTTGTTTTTTTCACAGCTTCACTAAAGTGCAAAATATTTCTCTTTAGGTGCATCTTTGAAAATGGTATCGTTAGTTGTGAGCCTGTCTTGCCTGTAAGCTAGCAAGTTTACTGCAATAAGGTTGCTAGTACATATGCATATCACTGCAGCATGCCAGCTGAAAGCAGAACTCTTTGCATGTCTAGCATAGTAAACAAGTTAAAAAAAAAAAACACCCAACATTTAATTGTAAAAGAGAGCAAATTAGCTGCATTAAAAATTAATACTAAACCCTTATATCATTGCAACAATTATCTAAATCACTGCAATCCAAATTTGAGCTGAAACTATAAACTTCTGAATAACACAAAGTTTGCAAAACAGTTTTAACTTATCTCTGCCCTGTTTAGGTAGCCACCTCGGTGTCCTCTCTGAAAAGTGAAGACTGCTCTCAGTTTCTCTTTTACTCCAGTTCATGTCAAATGTTCTGATTGGTTCTTAAAAAAAAAAAAAAAGAGATATTCCACTTTTGCTTCAGGCTTTTGGGATCATTTTGCACTGATTTGTGACTTTCCTTCATTCCTGGTCATTGAGGATGTTGAGTACCTTACTCCCAGAGCGCTCCCACTTGGCACTTGTTTGTGAACAATGGTCCAGACTTCTCTTTTTCCCTTCTGCAGTTGGTGACATGCTATTACCTAACTGGAACTACAGGAATTATTTATGGCATCTTGAACAGTCTGCACCCATAAGGAATTGTATGAAATGGTTTTTCACAGGAAGCAAAAACTTTTACTTTTCAGACCTTAATAAGAAAAAAGGTTTAATACTAATTTTCTGGCACTTG